TCAATCAATCAACCAACCAACCAACCAACCAACCAACCAACCAACCAACCAATCAACCAACCAACCAACCAACCAACCAACCAACCAATCAATCAATCAATCAATCAATCAATCAATCAATCAATCAATCAATCAATCAATCAATCAATCAATCAATCAATCAATCAATCAATCAATCAATCAATCAATCAATCAATCAATCAATCAATCAATCAATCAATCAATCAATCAATCAATCAATCAATCAATCAATCAATCAATCAATCAATCAATCAATCAATCAATCAATCAATCAATCAATCAATCAATCAATCAATCAATCAATCAATCAATCAATCAATCAATCAATCAATCAATCAATCAATCAATCAATCAATCAATCAATCAATCAATCAATGTTAAAAACCACTTGTTGTTCACCTTGTTCACAAGCTCAGGCCACTCGTATCTGACGGATTGCACGAACATGAGAATGAAGAAGAGGAAGGTCAGAGGTATGAACGTGGAAAACCTTCTGTACATTTTATAACTAATGATTCGTCAAAGTTAGTATAACTTTTTATCTAATAATTCGTCAATCTGATAGGTCGTCACTTATTTTTCGCTTACAATTATATTACGATTATATTGTATTGTAATGTTTTGTATTGTATTGTATTGTATTGTATGGTATTGTATTGTATTGTATTGTTTTGTTTTGTATTGTATTGTATTGTATTGTATGGTTTTGTATTGTATTGTAATGGTATTATATTGTAATGGTATTATATTGTAATGTATTGTATGGTTTTGTATTGTATTGTAATGTATTACATTAAATCACCTTACATCACATTATATTATAATTCTATAATAAATTAAATCAAAAACTCGAACTAATGAATATTAAGACTTAAATTTCGCGTACAAATAACTACAAACGTGTAATAATTTATGCTAAGCTATGTAACAGTAAACATGAAACATGTCTATAGACAAATCTTATAAATCTTTTCCAAGTATACAAGAGTTAGAGCAGGCAACCGACTTTTAGCATAAAATTTTTACACACAAACATATACGATGAATAAATTGTTGCTGGAAGTCGGTTGCGCAACCAGTCGCAAGTCGCACTTCGCAGCTTCGTGAAGAATTATGAACGTGTGGATAATAATAATAATAATAATAATAATAATAATAATATTAATATTAATGATGATAGAAAAATGATGATGATGATGGTAAGGATAATAATCATAATGATAATAAATTCTCCAGTTTAAATTTAAATCATGTTTGTGTGAGGCAGAAAGGTGATAAAGTGCGAAGTTCTCAGGTTGGTTCGTTGAAAGTAAAATAAATTTTTTTACTGTTCAACAAGTTAATATTTAATACAACATTTTACATAAACAATAAGAAAAAGAATGGAATTATGTGAAAAGATATTCAGTTGGTAAATCTAAAAGTGAATGAACGATCGACCAAACAAAATAAGAACGGACGAACAAAAGAATGATTGAAATGAACGAATGAAAGAACAAAGAAGACACGACTTTACTTCATTTATTATGTGTTAATTTTATAATTTTAATTTATTGATATTGCTAATGCTTAATGAAATAAAATTTTTTCAAAAGGTTTGCTTTACTTCTGAAATTTTGAACATATGAACTGGTAAAACTAAAGAAATATTTTCAACGAGGAAAAATTGAAATTTACACATTTGCATTTAAAAATTTTTTGTTTTGAACCATTTTCAACTTTATATATCAATTTCAGAATTTTGATTTTTTTTTCATTTTTATGATTTTTTTCAATATATACAAATAGTTTGTTATGATTTTGTTTCTGTGAATGTTTTGTGCAGTTGTGGTTATTTGAGATAGTTCTTTCCTCATTGATGATGTGAAGACTTTGGCAACTGATTCCCAAATGTTGATGCCTGTTGCAACTGGCCTGGTATCGCACACTTCAAAAGTCAATCTTAATCTTGATCTTTCTATCTTTTTTGGCTGATCCTTCACTTGCACTTTTGCTTCCTTTGAATTTCCAGCTGGTACTCTATATAAGATTGAAGATGTAGTCTTGTTTTATTATTAGATGTTGTGTGATTTGCATTGGTTATGTCTGTTGTTGGTTTGTTTTTGTTTGTTGATGTTACTTTGGTCGTGTTTGTTGTAGCATTTAAAATTTTTGTGTTGGTTGTGTTTCATCTGATTGCATTTGTCAGTAGTGTTGAGACGTTTGTGTGATTTGTTGACCTGCGTGTGTTTTTGAATTTGCTTGTTTGGTTTCTATATAGATGAAAATAATTTTCTTGCTGGTGTTTGAGCGCCTCTTGCGTTTTCATTAATTGGTGTAGTTATTGAGTGAGTTGACTTTGTTGTGATGGAAGTGTTGTCTGTGGTGCCAACTTCCCTGGTGGATTCTTTCTTGTCTCCACTCAACAAACGTTTAATTTTGGATTTTATTTCTCCATTTAGTCTTATCGTTTCTCCCACCTCAATCAAGATGCTTTCAATTGTATCCCTGTCTTTCAGTATTTGCGTAATGCTGCTGCAGAAACTCTTCCTCTATTGCTTCTTTTTGTTGTCGAATATAATTTTTCTGCAATTTTCAAAGTTTTCTAAATTTTTCTAAAAATTGTTATGTCCTAATTTTATGTTTTTTCAAGTTTTGCAGTTGTTGAGTTTGTTGATTCCGTTGTTGTGGAATTGTTGACTACGTTGCCAACACAACACCACAGGTAAATTCTCTTTGATCTACATTCAATTTTTAAATGAGTACAACTCAAAAGTCTTAAAAAATCACAAAAAATTTTAATAGTATCTTCCGGCATGATGATATAAACTTTAAAATCTGATAAACCTTTTTCATGATATTTTGGGCACAAATACCTGTTGCGTCGTTTTCGTGTAATAAAATATAGGCGAACTTCTAAGTAACCTCGTGTCCTTACTCTTGATCTTGAGGATGTTAATAGCTTTAAGTGCGCATTTTCTTACTCTCACTATTTTTAGTGATTTTATTTTTATTTTTATTCCCACTGCAACACAAATTTTGTACCTAGAAGTTTATTCATAATTATTTATTACATGGAGAAATTGATCAACAAAGTTAAATTAAATTTTTAGAAGCCTATTTTTAAATATTGTAAATATGGAAATCGATAAACATACTAAAAATCAATTTTGAAAAGTCTTTTCGTTCATTTTTAAAGACAACATTTGATGAAAAATTCTTAATTAGATTGGCAAATTTATCTTTGATTGAATATTCTTTGAAAATTTTCAAGTGCAAAATCCATTTAAGAAGCAGATCAATTGACGCGAAATGCTTTGTTGACGAATGTACGTGACTGCCTGCTTGTCTGGTCACGTACGGCTTCAAAAAGTTTTCTCTCTGAAGCATCCATCCAATCAAAAATATCGTCTGATTGAATTTATGTTTTAATATTTTTAAAATTTTTCAATCTCTCGTCCATAAGGCTCTATTTAAAACGCCGTTACTCATCTCACGCACTGAACGTCCTGTAGTTACCGCGTGATTGATGTCAGTCTTTAATAATCTCTTTGCGTTATTAACGTTTTAATTTTATTTCAATATTTTTTACCTAAGTAAAATTTTTTATTTTTAACAACTTGGAATATGTTGAACTTTTGTGCGATATTTCATTTGTAAATCATCTACTTAATTGTTTCAAGTATGTCTTATTTCTTATTATGTTAAAAACAGCAACGATTATATAATGATATTTACTGCTAATAAATTTTACAAACATGCAGTTTTTGTTTTGTGCTCTGATGAATTTAAATTCTCAAAATAATTTCAAATATTGCAAGAAGCATCCAACGTCGAGATGCTGCAAGTTTTGTCGTCAGCTCTCCATTTATCAATCCTGAACATCTTATCACTTCCGCTCTTGTTTAGCGCCAACATCCAGCTGGGCATCATAGTTGGTCGGGAAAATGAGGATGATTTAAAAAGATGCGTTGAGGAAGGGGTTGATATGGCCGTAGAGCAGGAAAACATCACGAGAGAGGATTATTTGTATGAGTGAGTTACCATTCCGTTTGTTTTAACGTATTTGTTTAAAAGCAAACAATTGTATTGGCATAACATTGCGAACAGTTATGACTGACAGGTTTATTTGGTTAGCGATTAAGCGCTAGCCACGTTTCCGATCGTTCTTGTCTGCAGGTTTAGGAAACAATTGTCTAATCGAAAGCCTCACGTGCGTGAAAATATCTAAGTAGGGCACGCAAAGACTGTGTAAAGCAAATTTGACGGCAAATGTTACATGTATTAAATTCTAAAATTCTGCAACTAACACTTTTATACTCTGCTTCTTAGGCTGCATTGGTTTTTTTTATCTACTTGTCCCAACATTTTCAATCACAATTCCAGAAACTTAGAAAATTTAAAAAGTTCTATTTAAAAACAATAATTCATTCCAATTGTGAATGTTTCAAAATATAATTAAATCTAATGAAGCTATTTGGCAATTATGGTTGCGATTTTAGCAAAACAACATTCGCTGATAACGGGGGGGCCATGACCACTCCTCGCCACCCCTTAATCAGCCACTCACTGAATTGAATACGCACAGTTTGTTTTCGTACATCGTCGACGATTGCGACGGCATCAGCGGATCGAGGGCAGCGTTGAACCTCACTCTACAATTGGCGGATGTTCTGGTTGGATCCATTTGCTCTGACAGTTAGTTGGTTTTGAAATTCGTTAAAAATTATTTCGCGTATTTTTAGTCTTTTGATAATTTAAAATTGTCAATAACTGTTTTGTGTTTCATGATTTGTAATAAAATCGTGAGGACAAAACATTTGAGACCCCAATTTTTTTAAATTGCATCAAGATTGCATAGCCACTGCGCAAATAGCCGACTATTTTGATGCTCCCTTCTTCCCACTGAATTGTTTTGATCCCATCCTGGATAAATCTCAACTCTACTCAACAGTGATGAGTCTAACTGGATCGCCATCGAATTTCGGTTTAGCTTTTATGGTCTTCTTCAAACGAAACAACTGGCAAAACTTTGCCATCGTGAATGAAGTTGGAAATAATTTTTGTGAGTACGCGGTAGATGCGATAAAAAATAAAACTAAGAACGTCCTAAGGATGAGTGAATATTTGGAGGTCGGAAACAGCCTTGCCGATGACGAAATAGCAACTATCTTGAACAAGATCGAATTTTCAACAAGAAGTTTGTTTTGTCGCGTTCACTATTGTAGATTTCATGATTTTTCAATGATTAATGTATTTCGCAAATCTAGCGGCCTGATCCAGCAGTTGCAATGACCGGGATCAAATACACGGAGATTTCCGCCTTTCACATGTAATGTGTGTGATGCGTGGTTTTCTTGCGTATTCATATACGCTGTGTGTGTTTGTCGTTGATACATCTGAAACAAGTGCACAAGAGAGATTGACTTTTTAATCTTTTAACCCTTATTGAAATTTTTTTTCTTTCATAAATTTTAAAGAACTTTATATTATTTATTAATTCGTCTTTTAAAAGAAGTGATTGATTTAATATGCACAAAATTTTTTTGACAAGGCCAATCAATATACTAAATTCACAATACGCACTTCACCTGCCACACCATCCCTTAGTAATCGTCATCTGCCACACCAATCCGAGCACCATGTTGAATATTATCTACGCGGCACACCTGCGAGGTATGACCAACCCAGAAGAGTTCGCCTGGATCACCCTCTATAACATCTACTCCAACTTCAACTTCAACACTCTGTTCGTCCCATGGCTGGCAAATAGGGAAGACATGCCGAGGGCCGAGTTAAAAACGGCTTTTCTTTCCGTTAAGGCGGTTAGCTGGGTGATGACACGACGAAAACATGGTAAGAACATCCTAATAATGACATGATAATGACGTCATAATATAACATTATCTACAGGGTCGAACCAAAAGTTAATATGCCCACATCTAATAAATGAAATACATAAAATCGTGCAACGTATTATAAAATAATAGTTAATAAAACTAATAGTGTAATTCAATTTGATGGTTGTAGCATCATAATGACATCAATTAATTAATCAATCAGTCAATCAATCAATCAATCTATGAAAACCAATCAATTAATCAATCAATCATTCACTCAACTAGATAACTTCAAAAAACTTTACACGACTTCCCGATCCAAGTGCGGACCCAAGCATGATAGTTACGTCCATGTCCATGCTTATGGTTTGATAATGATGGGGATGATGAAGATGAGGATGGTGATGAAAGTGATATTGATAATAAGATAAGATAAAAATAGTGATGACTTTCACTTTGATAATGGTGATTTTCACGATTTTAGCAAATCAAATTTTTGAAAAAAAATATAACAAAGACAGTATCCTGGAATATCATTTTAGCTGCTTATGACAGGCAGTGGCGGATCTAGAAAAGGCATCTGTTTTAGGCAGTGTTTTTATTAAAAGTCAGTAAAACTCAGTTTGTAGACAGAAAAACTCTCGTTTTTAAGTACCAAAAATTAGTGTGTTAAGCAAAAAAAGCTGCCAGTCTGATTTTGGCAACACTTATAAATATGTGGTTAATTTTTTGGCCCTTCATCTGATTTCAAAATTTTAGAATTTAAAAAAATTGTCAGTCTAAATCCGTCAACATTGTCTAGATTTGCCACTGGATCGGGGTTGTTAACAATGTTTACAATTTTTTTGGCCAATAACAATACCGGTTTTATAGCCAAACTATATTTGAAAATCTTGTCGGCAATGACAATACTTTTGCATTTTTAAAACTGTATTACATGGAAGCAAAGCAAACCTATAATTTCATCGATAACAAATGCCTTCGGTAGTTAATATATAAATTGAAAATGGTTGCGTCCAATCGTCAAATTTTGCGTAAGTTAAAATGAATGTCCGGGGCTCTGTTTGGAGGTCTGGAAGTTTCAAAGCGACAAAAAAGCAATTGCTGCTAAATATTCTCTTCAAAACTGAAAAGGCAATTTATTTCAAATCTTCTATCATTTCATTGCCGACATTATTTTAACACAAAATGATTGTTTAAATAATTTTATATCTATTTTTTAAATCAACTAACCTTTAAAGGTTGAATAATTTGTTAATTCAGAGATCAAACAGATTTTTGAAATTTTTTTTTGAATGACTAAAAAGAGACAGTGACTGACAATTTGTTTAACTTTGAAAATTGAAACGATCATTAATAATAATATATCCGGTTCACGTTCAATGTTATGTGTATCGAATAACGATTTTTTTTCTTTCTAAATAGTATAGGCGATATCAAGTTCGATACTCGGTATAAAAAGTTTCGCCGAAGCTAAAACTGAAAAGTACCGCCAATAAAATGTCAGTTATACCGATACTTCGATAAGAACAACCCTGATCATAATTTTCTCTAATGAACACATAACTTGTTCATTAAGCCATCAACTGGTCAATTAATTAATTAATTAATTAATTAATTTACTTAATTAATTTGTTTCTTGATCCATTATTTTATTTTCCATTCTGAAACTTTCTTACTCCGTTATTTGTTTTCCTTTAAAATTTCGTAATAATTTTAAAACATTGTCTTGCATATTGTAGCAGTTTTTTAATCAGTAAAACTCTGATTTTTTAAAGAATTATGAAAAAAATAATATTCATCATGCAAAAAAATGAAGCAAAGGCGGTCGCAACCTAATTTATTCACTCAGTTACATTTTTGCCAACGTCATCATCCTCATTATTTTACAAATTTACGAAATGCCCCCCACAGAATTTTCTAACAGATGCCATCTACCTGTTCTTTAAACTGATGAAAATGGCGAATGAAAAAGGCCTGGAGAAGCTTAGTGGAAAGGTCCTCCTTAATTTGAGTCGTAGCATGGAAGCAATTGGTTAGTAAGAACTAAGAGTGCGGCTTCCTTAATCCGTATTTGGTTTCGTATACCGAGACACCGGTGTGATTTGGATCGGATTTGCTAAATTTAATGCCGATGATTTTGTAAAATCAGATCTACGATTAACGACCGGTGAATAAGGTTTTGAATAAAAAATTTTTAATTCTCAATTAAAATGAATTTGATTTTAAATTCAACATTATGAGAACTGTTAATAGTGAATAGGTATTATTGAGACGATAGTCGAATTATGTGGCAATGCGGAAAATGGAGAGACTTATCTAAGAAAACATAGATGATGATGTAACCAACACTACATATCTTTATGCTGATAACCGAGCAACTTCAAAAACCGAAGAAAGAACAAAGAATTGTGGTTTGAGGTTGCTCTTTGAGCGTAGAAGATAAGGCGAAGATAAACGCTAAGTCCCGTTTCGTTGGCTATCACCACTCTTGCTGCAATAAGCTGTTGCCACATCAGCATAATATCATATTCTTTTAATAGGATGAAGTTTTGGTAAAGTTGATGAAAGTTTATTTACTTTTAAAACCATGCATACGGATTCAGATCCGGATTCAGATTCTTATCCCGTTAGCCTGAATACTTAAATTTGTCCTGTTCCTAATGTTTAGTAGCGGATAGATTGTTCAAAAAGAAATTTTTTGAACAATGAAAAGTCTAAAAATTTGTAGTTATACCCAACTTGGCTCGTCATTTTAATAGTAATAAACACTATCAAAAATTTTTGAAAATTTGTTTTTAGAGAACTTAGTTTCATTACATGGAAATTTATTTTTCGTTTTCTTAATTTTAAAAATATATTCGATGAAATGATTGTATCCATGTCCTTCATAATGAATATTCAAAGAAACGAACGCACCGGCCAGCACACATAATTGACTTGCACGTGCACCTACCTTGCCAGGTAAGACTGAAGTCATAAAAATCAATCAGGAGGGAGATAGATTCATACCGTTTGCCGTCTGGTCCCTGACCCCTGGCTCATCCACCTTCAGTACCTACCTTATCATCAACTACACAAACGAAAACTATACGGTAAATAACTTTTTTTGTTCAACTCAAGCTGCTTTCGTGTTTGCTGAAGACTTCAAAATTTCTTCAATTTCGTATTTTAAATTTTTTTAATCATGTTTTTATCAAAATTTTTCAATGATTTGTATTAATTTTTATAAATTTCAATTTAGGCCAATTTTTATTTGACTCATTCATTAATGATTATTTTATAATTTGATTATTTATTATTTTGATGAAGCATGAAACTGATGTCCACCCAGCTATTTTGTTCAACAGCCATCCACTCGACCATATTATGGGATCAGCACGGGTCCAACTGAATGTTACATAATATTTGCAGGACTACCAGGTGGACGAGGAGAGGTGGGGCTACTCCGACAGGCCACCCCTCGACAAACCTAAGTGTGGCTACGATAAACTCTGTCAGGACGGTCAGATTTTATTAATTTGATTTTCATAAACTTTGAATCAGGTTCATAAAATTGACCAGAGGGCCTAAATGGACCACTTATGTTTTTGTTTATTTTAATTCATTTTTTATTACTCATTTTGATGTTTAAATTATTTTCATCTGAATCTAACATCATTGTAATTTTTGTTGTCAATTTAACATGAACCAGCATGCGATGTGATTTATGACGTAAAATATCGGTTACAGAAAACCAAAAAAATTAAATAAAGTAACGCCTATATATAAACAAGTTGAACAATATAATGGAATTAAAATGCCAAAGTTAGTCAATAAGCTAAATAGCCCAAACAGTATGAGTGCCGTGTTTTTCTTCAATTCAAGGTGAGATGACCAGCTTCAAATGCAGGTTGAACCGAGTTTAGTGGCATAATTTAGATTCCCATGAAAATTAAACACACGTACATATTTACAAGCAAACACATACATTCATTGATCCAATTGAATAATTGAGCAGAATTTTACGAACACCAACCAATCTCAATCAGACGGCAGGACACTGATTATCAGCCTGGCTGTAGCGTTCGTCCTTTTCATATTCATACTCGTCCTATCCCTCATCATCAGGTTCGTATACTATCAGTCATTCAAATCCGAAAGTTTTGACCCGTACAAGCGGAGCTAAATAGTTTTCTGCTAACTTGATCGTTACACAACAATGCTAACTTGAAAACACGTTTAGCTTATGTTGAATATATACTTTAATCATTTATATAATGAATTAACTTGCAAAAAATATCGTGCACCGAACAAGTTCTTTTAGAACAATCATGGAATGTTTCAACTCATTATTCTGTATGACGTCTTCTTGACAAACTTACTTGAATAACCAAACAAATAAAAAAAGACAAATAATTTTTATATAAAATATAGCAAATAAAACATGAATGAATTAATTATTTTTTAACTTAGACGTCTTTATTGTATGTTCCATTTACTTGTAACATTTCAATTGCTTGATGAAAAACTTTTCCAAATGTTTCAGCAAATTTTTCTTTTCTTAAAACGATTTTTATAATATAGGGCAACAAAAATCGTTTAAACGAATCACGAAAAAAAACATTAATGAAGATTAATTAAACAACAACTTAAGGTCACAAGTGAACGAGCAGAAGATACTGAGCATGGCCTGGAAGATACGATACAACGACTTGCAGTTCATCAAAGATGCCACTAATGTAAGTGCGCTCAGGTATTTCTTACGTGTGCTACAGGTTGGAAATAAAATTAATTTGTTGAAATGAAAAAAATTGTGATCGTTTTTTTTTTGTTGTGTTTTGTTTTTCTTTTGAAAATAAGTTCCCAATGCAATAAATTGTTACCATAAATTATCAATTTAGTTGGAGCAGTGACATATTGTTTACACGGTTAATTTACCAATATTTTTTAAATTTACAAACAACATTTGGAAAAGTAATTTTAAACAACAACCCCTGGACAAAAACAGCTGAAAAGTGTCTCGAAGTCTTCGGATATGAATGGATCTGATGAGAACCTGTTCTTGCATTCCTTCAGAGAGTTGGATGGCGGACTGAAGGATGGGGTCATGTTCGGCATCTACAAAGGGGATCTTGTCACCGTTAATTATTCTGGCAAGAGGGAACTCACTCTGTCCAGGAAGGATCTCATTGAGCTAGTGAAAGTGAGCGTTCACTGCTGATTTTTCATCTTTAATTCGTTTTTTCACATGATAAAATTAAAATTAAACAAACATTTAAACTCAGCAAATATTTGAATGAGTTTCCCGAACTGCAGATGAAGGAGCTGCAGCACGACAACATCGTGTACTTCCTGGGGGCCTGTGTCGAGCCCGACAGGATATGCTACCTCACACAGCACTGTGCCAGAGGCACTCTGCAGGTTGCGACAAAAATTTTATTTCACCATTTTTAATGATTTCATTATCTATGTACTAATCTTAACCCCCACTACCTCACACCTCTCTAATCGAGTAAATCATCACTGCCACATCACCAAGCCACACCACCACCACACCACCGCCACACCACAACCACACCACAACCACGCTACACAAGGATATGCTGGCTGACATTCAAACCCCTGTCGACTGGACCATCAAGATATCATTCATCACTGACCTGAGCAAAGTTTGATATAAATATTGAATAAATAAATATTAAATTAATAAATAAATAATGAATAAATATATATTAAATGAATAAATAAATAATGAATAATATAATTAGTAGATATGAATGAATTAATAAAGAAGGAAAGAAAGAAAGAAATACACATAACCAGTAGAAATGAATAAATAACTAATTCACTTTTCAGTTATTTTACTCATAATGTTCAAACTCAATTGTTGGCAAATCACTGCCTATACAAACTTCGACATCTTCAATGACTAATGATTAGGAGTTTGTAAAATTTGTTATCCATCCAGGGAATGAATTACTTGCACAAATCTTTCATTGGCTGTCACGGAAAGCTGACGAGTAACGTGTGCCTAGTTGACAACAGGTTAACTTCCAATTTACTGCTTACTGGTTGCTCTGGAAAAAGTGTTTTACTTATCCAATTATTTTTTCACTGACGTATTTCCTTTTCTAATAATTTTACCGCTAAGTTTTTAACATTTAATTTATAAAAAAAAAATGTGTCAGCATCATAAATTGAAAAATATTTAGAAACAAAAAAAATTATTAAATTAAAAATCTAAAAAATATTTAAAAATACTAAACTGCAACAAATAACCAAATGATCTGAATGAAAGCAGTAACGCATCAACAAAAAAATTTCAAGTGATCAATATCAAAGTCCAATTATTTTTATCGTTATAGTGGTGTAGTCGTAGTTTAGCAAGGAAAATTAGCGAAGGGGTATCGGTTTCTTCCGTTTTGAGTCTCGTTTTGCGTATGCATCAACTTTAAAATAATAATCAACAATTTCTAGTTAACAGATTTTCAAAATAACATTTTTTCAAATTTTTTCAAATTAAACAACAAAAATTTTCACAAGTAAACTTTTGAACTGCTGATTCGATTGTTCTTTAAACTTTATACATACACTTTATTCTGATTTGATGAATAACGAATTGTCTTATTGCTCACACACACACACACACACACACACACACACACACACACACACACACACACACACACACACACACACACACACACACACACGCACGCACACACACACATACCCAAACACACACACACATACCCAAACACACAATATATATACATAGATGGGTCCTTAAGATCACAGACTTCGGTCTGTCAGCCTTCAAGTTAGTACAAAAGGAAGACAAACCGGGAAATGATTTTTACAAAAGTTTGTTGTGGACCGCGCCAGAGCACTTGATGTCATCTCTCTCACGTTTGTTATGATGATGGGTGCTGTATATAATTATTCTTATTATGATAAAAAAAAGAAATGTTTAAAAATTTTGTTAATGTATATGAATATTTGTTTGCATTGGCCTGGCCATGGCAGTCGCGAGTCAGAAAGGTGATGTGTACAGTTTTGGCATTGTCGCCTACGAAATACTCTACAAAACATTTCCGTACGATGATGTCAACTTGGATTGCAAAGGTCGGTAAATGTTTGTTTAATGAATCTCAAATGACGATGGGCTGTATGATCTTGCATCGTATAAATCATGCCTTCTCCGAGTTTGTGGAAAATATTTCTTTAAAAAATGAAGTTGCAACCTGGATGATGTTTCAATTAGAAGGCTACTGCAAAATAAAAGTTTGTTCTTACTGAAGTAAACATAATTTGGACAGACATAATAATGCGCATACTTGACCTGCGTATTGAACCATTCCGACCACACCTGTCGCCACTGAACGACCCTGACGCCAACCCTGCGATCTTGAATCTCGTGGCTCAGTGCTGGTCCGAAGATGCAAATGTTCGTCCAACGTTCGATGTCATCGAGAAGACGCTGAAGAAGTTTTACTTTGGAAAGTGTGTAGCATGTGGTGGATTGTTCGTGGAAAAGTTTGCTAAACAATTGTCATTACATTATCTTTTTAATTTCAGAACTGAGAGCATAGTGGACAGCATGTTGAAGAAGGTGGAGAAGTACGCGAACAATCTAGAGATGATCGTGGAGCAGAGAACACAGGAAGTGATTGAGGAAAAGAAGAAGACAGATTTGTTGCTGAACAGCATGTTGCCACCGTTAGTCATGTTATTTTCGACAAAATTAGAACAGCAAAAACTATTAAATTAGTTTAAAATATTGAAATAATATTTCTATAAAAATACTTCTTATTTGAAGATTTTTACGTCAAAAGACATTTGAATGTTTATATTAAAATGTGGTTGTTTTAAGTTTTAACTGAAACAATATTTTTTTTATAAATTAAAATACGGACAATATATTTTTAATAAAAGTTTCATAGCAGATGAGTTGAAGGCAGGTCGCAAGGTGGAGCCCAAGATGTACCAGAGTGCCACGGTGTATTTCTCAGACATTGTTGGGTTCACGACGTTGTCATCTCAAAGCACTCCCATGCAAATTGTGGATCTGCTTAATGATCTCTATGGAGCATTTGATGATACCATCTCTAAGCATAATGTTTACAAGGTTTGTTTTTGATGTTCTGTAACGAAACGTTTTAACTTTTTCCGATCATATTTTCAGTATCTTCTTAACTTTTGTCGCTTCCAGGCTATCAATTGAAATGTGAATTAGTGAATGATTCAAACATTTATTTGATTCAACTATTGGTTTCATCTGGTTTTAAATGTTTCAATGATAAGGTTGAGACGATAGGAGATGCGTACATGGTTGTGAGTGGTCTGCCTCAGGTAACAGAGCGCCATGTCGTGGAAATATGCAACATGGCATTGGATCTGCTGGGCATCGTCAAGACCTTCAAGATCAGACATCGGCCTGAGATGACACTCATGTTGAGGATTGGCATTCATTCGGGACCTTGTGCTGCCGGTTCGAACGTTTTCGCTAACCTCTGAAGGTTGTATGCTAAATGGTCCTAATAATTTCAACAGGAGTGGTCGGTCACACGATGCCTCGCTACTGCTTGTTTGGTGATACGGTCAACACCGCATCCAGGATGGAGTCAACTGGTGAAGGTTGGTGCTATGGTTCATTGCTTATCTATTCCAACAACCATTCATAAATAATATTATATAGTTTGAAGTTATAAATTTAGAAAAAAATTTAATTAATTAAACTTATTTCTCTCGATTTTCAAGACGTTAAACAATTAGGACTTTATAACAAGTTTAATCCAAGCACATATCTAAAATAATTATAATTTTTATTTAATTTTTTATTTGTTGGTTGCTAAATATTTCATGGCTTCTGTTTAATCAGCATTGAAAATTCATCTGAGCACTCCAGCCAAAGACCAGCTATGCAAGTTTGCAGGCTATGTCGTTGAGTTGAGAGGTCCCACAGAACTGAAAGTAATTTCAACCATTTGTGCACATTTAATTTAATATTATTTATTTATTAAATTGTTAATTCTTCGTTATCGAAATTTCTATTACCGTCAATATCGGTGTATGCATGCTCGTTTTTTTCAATTTTTTTTTATTCTTTAAAAATCAGGATCTGACAGACGCAGAAACTGTAACAACATGCAAGGCATTAAAACAAAATTAAACAAATAAGTGAGAAAATAAATACAAAAAGTGAAGAAGAGAAATGATAAAACATAAAAAATAAAATATGTTAGAATAAAAAAAATAATAATAATAAGAGAAATAAAAGAAAATTAATTGACGATGGAATATAAAATGAAGTAACGGCAAATTGATAGACTAGATGATGACTTAGTGAGGTGATCGATAAAAAAGACTAGGCCTGTAAGTGAAAAAGTTTTAATGAGTATTAATATATTTGATGACTTGCCTGTTATGATCTTTTAAATTCAACTCCAAGTTAGAAAAAAATAATAAATGTTATGAACTATAATAATAAGTTATGCAGTGTGCCACATTTGAAGATGTCGTATTCAAATATGAAATAATTATGAAAATAGTGAAACGCAAAATTTCAATCTTCAGATCGTCGTATAACTTTTAATAAAATGTAAAAAAAATGAATGCAAGGGTAAAGGGACGATGACAACTTACTGGCTCTTACGGAAAGATCCACTCAACGAGGTCTGAATGTGTTTGTTCATCCTTGCATGTGTGACCAGATCTCCGTAGCGTTACTCCGTTCAGAGGTGTAACTTAAAACTCTTCAATAAACATTTATCTATATATATTTCTTTTCTTCAATGTTGTCGTTAGTTTATTAAATTTGCTGTTGTAATTTGTCTAGAACATTTTTTAACATATGGACCTTCTAAATGTTTTTATGTAGGCGTTAAATAAATTGAATCATTTATTTTAAATTTATCAAAAAAATCACTAAGGATTGCACAAGTGTTTAGTATTAGTATTAGTTTAGTATTCAAGTGTTGTTTTAGTTATGTAACTGTAACTGTTTTTGAAAATTCTTTAAAAGATTATAGCATTCTTAATAAACATCTTCAATTGGAACTAATTTTTTATCTATATATTTTTTGATATAATCATGATTCATTAAACTCACTTCCTTACACGTTTTCTCGTTTTGAAAAAATGACCAAAATTTCGAACTAAAATTTCAGTTTTCTTAAAACTTTTAACTACAATTTTTTTTTATTTTTCAAGTTTAAGTACAATGTAAAATTACATGTTAAGGTACTTAAGTATCATGTCCAAAAACTTAAAATTGGTACTCGAGTAGTTTTCGTACCACATTGACCGTGCAATGTCAAAGGTCAATTGCTGTTGTGTTTGTGATATATAACAAAACTGTTGATCACAAATATTTACAATTATAAACTTTTTTATCCTATTATGAATAATCAACCTAAAAACTTATAAATTGCAAATATATACACTTTACAATTTCATGATTCAACAATAACATGAACAAAATCATGACAAATAATTGCGACATATGCTTTGCAAACAGATAAAAATCGAAAAAAAACCGAAAGTGCGTTACTTAAATGTTCCATTATAAGATTTAACTACGTAAATCGGATGATGGTCCATTTTAGAGGATGTTCACTTGGTTTCTTTCCGACTGCGTGTCATGCTTGCATATCAACACATTTAACTACTAATCACCGGCTGCCAATCATCACCATTCTGTTTACGTCAACTATCGCCTGCTGTTTCTTCTGTTTCAAGGACGGTCCTGCTTGCTTTTTATCAATCTTTTCAATGCCAGGGTCGATCACACAATAAAAAATTATTCCCTTCAACGGATTTTTTTTAGTTTGGTTTATTCCAATCAAAGTTTCCGACTTGTTGACTTGCACGCTTTTTAGCTGGCCAGGCCCAATTTTATGGAATTTTTTATTAAAATTTCTTAGCCAATTGCAAAGAAAATTTTTTAAGGATAATACTTTTAAATGATTTTTCAAAATTCGGTGGTGTCAAAAAGTTTCAATTTAAATTTTTTTTATAAAATAATAATAATCAATGATTTGCGAGATAACTAGATTACAAAATGTTGAGTTGCTGAGATTTCAATAAATAATAATTTAAAAAACAAAATTGTTTAATGGAAAGTTAATGAATGTTAGGTTCGTTCAGCTCCTTCATAAGCAACCAGTACGTTACCATCGTTCCCTTGCCCTGTCGTTGTGTGAGATGAAATTTTAAAAAAGATTTTTATTTTAAGTTTTAAAACAAATTTTCAAAATTTCAATTTAACTCATTACTTTCAATGATTTTTTAAAAAAATGCGCCAAGATTTTGTGGTCCCAAAAAAATTAAAAGTTAAATATTTTCGTGTGTTTTAACAATTTTTACATAAAATAATTTATTTAATTTAAAAAATGTTTGTTTCATTTATTTTAAAACTGTTAAAAAAACATTAACATAATTAAATAAAAGACCCAATAAACTTTAAAAATTTTGGAAACTTAATTTATCCTCAACCGACATAATCAACATTCATCAAAATTATGTAAATTGAAATGAGCACCTTCAACTCAGTGCGACCTCTCAACTCGATGACGTAGCCAGGAAACTGGAGGAGTTGATCTCTGGCTGGTGTGCTCAAGTGGATTTTGAGGGCTTTAAAGTTTTATTATTTCAAAATGATTATCCAGTTTTTAGCCAATTTAGATTTTTCGAATTTGTTGACGATTTTGAGAGAATCCACGGAACAAAATTTAGACATTTTTTTATTCATATCTATCCTTCAAGTGCAGTACCTATATTTAAAAACACCAACCTTCACCAGTTGATTCCATCCTGGATGCGGTGTTGACCGTATCACCAAACAAGCAGTAGCGAGGCATCGTGTGACCGACCACTCCTGTTGGAATTATTAGGACCATTTAGCATACAACCTTCAGAGGTTAATGAAAACGTTCGAACCAGCAGCACAAGGTCCCGAATGAATGCCAATCCTCAACATGAGTGTCATCTCAGGCCGATGTCTGATCTTGAAGGTCTTGACGATGCCCAGCAGATCCAATGCCATGTTGCATATTTCCACGACATGGCGCTCTGTTACCTGAGGCAGACCACTCACAACCATGTACGCATCTCCTATCGTCTCAACCTTAAAATGCAATATATTTGTTATTCATTTCTACAAAAGTTCTTTGGCCAGTAAAACAATGAGATAATATTTTAATAATTGAATGCTGTTCAAACCAAGAATGGGCATAGGATTGGTGAATGCGACTTTCAATGATTCCAATGACTTATCACTTTGGAAAACAGTATCGTTTTACTAAATAGTATAAGAAAACAGAAATAGCTGCTAATGGAAACTGGAATCACTAACGGAAAATTGGAATTTTTTTTCCAAAGCTCACATTTTTAGAAAAGTAATTTCAAAGTTTATGTTAACGAAACAACAAACAAATTTTTAAGTTACGCTTTTTCAGTTTTTAACGCATCGCTATTTTATTCATAACGTCAGCGGTTAGATTTTTTTATTGAATTGTTTAAAAATGAATTAAAAAAATTTCATAAAAAAATAGCCAAAAGAATTTTCAAATCAATAAATATAGGCAAAAAAGCATCGCAAATTTTATGCACACCAACAACTTTTCAGCCATTTAACCACATTTTGGTGTGGCATGATAAGTTATTTGCCAGTGAGCAGTGCTAATAAGAATATTTTTTGAACTTCTTGAGAGCTTATTAACATATATTAACATATATTAACATATGTTAACAAATATTAACAAATGGAAAGGTCACCACAAAAGAATGCCACCACGGGATTGGAGGAATTTTTAGATGACAACATCAATCAAATTAATCATGAAAAATCTGACGATGTTACGGTTAAAATTTCAATCTTTTCACAAGGCAACCCCAAAACGAACCTTGTAAACATTATGCCTGGAGATGGTATCATCAAATGCTCCATAGAGATCATTAAGCAGATCCACAATCTGCATGGGAGTGCTTTGAGATGACAACGTCGTGAACCCAACAATGTCTGAGAAATACACCGTGGCGTTTTGGTACATTTTTGGTTCAACTTTTCGACCAGCTTTTAGTTCTTCAGCTATAAACCTTGAATCAAATTTAATTTACTTGGTCACGGACAACTTTTAGCTTTTAATTTTAATTCAAGAGGATCGGGTGCGCGAAAATATATATGTTCTAAAAAATATTTTTAAACACAATTTGAGTCATTAAAAAATACAAAATTTATTAGAAATATTTTAATGATATCATTGATCTTGATCGTTCATATTATTATTATATAACTCACGCCGCGTTGTGTGTTTTGTTTTATTAGCTGACTATACGTCTCCACTAATGTTTTTAATATTTAACCAAGAAAATTTTGTTTCATTGGCCTGATGCCGTTTAGCATTATAGCTGCTAAGCATTTTTTCAATGTGCTTTGAAATTTTAATTGAATGTTTTATGAAAGTGCATCTTACGGGGGTAGCATGCTGTGTAGCAACAAATCAGTTTTCCTCTTTTCATCAACCAGCTCTTCAGTTCTCTGCTCCACAATTATTTCAAGCTCGTTTGCGTATTTCTCCAGTTTTTCTAACATACTGTCCACTATGTTTGTGTTGGTTCTTGAAAGACGGGTATGCCATGAATGAATAATTGTATAAGCAAACAAATTATTTTATCAAATTTTTGTAATTAATATTTTCATAATTAACATTTTCAATAGAAAACTACTTGTTTGTGAACTTGAGCAGGAGTTTGCTGACATGTTCAAATGGTGGTCTCTCTGCTGGGATCTCATGCCAGCACTTCTGAATCAACTCCAACATTGATGGGATGACACTCTTCGACTCGTTGGAAATCATTGAAGGTCGAAAAGAAACATCGACGCTGAACATTATTTTTTCCACTATTTCTTAAAAAAATTTATTCAACTTTTTCATTCGACTAACAGACACATTCCCACAATTTTATTAGTATTGAATTAAGTCTTATTTATTTGTATACTATTTTAAAATTTATTTTGATATTTTATTGAACACATTTTGCATAAATTAAAAGTTTGTTTTTAATTCTTATTTCTCCGTTCCAGTTGAACGGATGTTAATATTCAGACCAGCCACATATAACCTTTAACGGACAGACCAGTTTCTTGGTACGGATACAACCTAAAGACAATTTCATGACAGATAATACCAAAACTGTACACATCCCCTTTCTGACTTCCCAAATGTTTGATGCTCGATCTCAAAATTTCAGGGGCTGTCCATAAAAGTTCTTTATAGAATTCCTCATGCGTTTCATCTGCTGTGGTGGGCGTTCTAAAGGCACGCAAGCCAAATCCAGTTATTTTGATTACCCATCTTAATAGTGAAAAAATGTTTCAAAGCAGATTTATCTATTCAAAAAATAATCTAAAAGTGAATTTTTCATTTCAAACTCCAGACTTAATAGCAGTTTATCAGGCCACTCATTTTTTAAAAAAATTTGAATAAAATCAAATTTAAATGTTTATATGATAACTTGTAATCACCTGTTGTCCACCAGGCAGTTGTTGCTGTTCAACTTTCCGTGAAACTGGAAAAACGACTTGTGCAAGTAGGACATGCCCTTCAAATGCATTAACATCCATGTGTTAACGAATAAGCGCATTTTTTGCAAAGTTTTAGGAATTGTGTAATATTGGCTTTTAAGGAAAAAATGAAAATTTAAAAATAAGGAAAAATGGTATCGAGTTTTTTTATTTTAAATAATTATCTTGATATAATTTGTAGATTTTGTTATTCTTTATCCACACAGCACCACCTTCACAATATCCATCACGAACGACAGTTTGAAAGACCAGTCCAGTTTCTTGTCGCCATCATTCAGAACATCCTTCGTTGAGAAAGTTATTTATAAAAACATCAATGATGCCAAGAACATTTTATTTCTTTTTTAACTATGCTGTCGTCTAAACAACGTGAACCCAAAACAGCAGTTGTAGTAAAAAAAATATAGCAGAGCAGGTGGGGCCGGATTTAAAGATGAGGAAGTTTTAGGACAATGGAGAAGTAGAAGCTAATAATTAATTTAATTTTATCGGCAAGCATTGGTTTAAAACATGTTTTTGCTTTTTCAAAAAATTTTATTAGAACCGGTGTACGGTGTTTTAAAAGTGTTCTGCTGTAAAATATTTTGGTTCATTATCTTTTTTTTGGAGGAACATTATTTTATTGAAAACTGTAGTCTGTTTTAAATCTGACCCTAAAAACCGGATTAGTATGACAGAATAGAGTTTCTGTTTTCAATTTTATTTTTATTTCCTCAATATTGACTGGCAATATATACATATATATATACATAAATACATATATATATATATAAATGCATTTTAACATCCCAAATACCTAATTTCAACAACTGATTGAAAATGTGTACAAAAATTGGCCTACCTGTAAAGAACCTCTACTGCAATATTTAACGATGTAACAAATTTTGTCATCGTCTGAGCAGGCGCCTAAGAAAGGGAGCAAGTTGTCGTGTTGGAGCTCCTTCATTTTGACCAGTTCAACTAAATCCTCTTTGGTCAGTTTGATGCTGTGTATATTTGAGTAACAAACAGATACCAACATTCCTTTGTAGAAAGCTCTCATCTGGCCGTGTTCGTTGTTCAAATTTTTGAAATTTTCCATTTGGATTTGTTCCTCTTCGCCAGATATATTTGAGCCATCAGTTATTTTTGAGGAACTTTTTATCTATATATTGGAACATTTTTGTTAGTTGGACTAAAAATTGCTACGCTTCTAATTTTTGTCACAAGTATTAGACAAATAAAATTGTTTCATTGATCTTTAACTGATTTATAAAGATGACTCACACTTCTTGCTTCCTTAAGAAATTGCAGGTCACCGTAGCTGACTTTCCACGACATTTTAAAGACTTTTCTTTCGAAGATTGTTATGCTGAAATCATACAAATAACTCGCATTCAACAAACTTACAACATTGTCATTATTTTTTTCAGATTCATATTCATATATTTAGGAAAGGTGTCAACTTTTGCAACATTGTGAAAAAATCATATTGACGAAATTAAACAAACAGATCTCCAAAATTCACTTTTATAGGAAGGCAAGTTTATTCAAAATATTTTAAAATTAAGAACACAAACCAGCACCTACTGTGAAGCATGTTTCAAAACCAAACTCACAATATTTTTCTCGTAATGGACTCACCGAATGAAATAAAAGCCGGACGAAACTGCAATGACAATGACGAAGATGGCCGCAAGAGCTATTATCAAAGAAGTGTTATCTGTTAGAACAATGTTATAAATTATATTACTGACATTATAAGTTGATCTGTTTAACAATATTGGTAACATGAAATTGTTTCCATCTAACCTGACGTTGGCTTGCAAAATTCATTACTGAATCCACAGTCAGGGGTGTCTTTTGGTGCTTTGTTGTAGGTGCCCCACGTTTCATATCCTATGATGTGCGTCTGGTTTTGAAATGTTTGTCAATTTCAAAACTATCATTATGTTTTAGCTCAAATAAAATTAATATACTATCGCCCATCTTGTACCTGAAGACAAATTTAAAAAATAAAAGTGCACTGCACATATAATCACAAGAAATTCATTGGCCCGGAAAATATAACTTTGATCAAAATTGAACGCCCGTCTGCTGATGAGTCATTTAACAAAATGCAATCATTAAATTTCTTTGCATTGAACATCAGAAGACAGTCACGTACATTTCATAAGCGAGGAAGATGATTACTGAACAGAAAAGCAATTACGAAATGGAATAAAAAACTTAATCAAAAGATGTGCAAAATTGCTCACAAATTCAATAGCTAGGAAGACAACAATGGAAGTTAGGAAATTCGGTCAGTTAACTTAAAAATCGAGCCCAGTGTGTTGCGCTGGCCTGGCTCATTTGTTAATTTAACGTTTGCCACACGCCAAATGTTGAAGATGATGACGACAATTTTGGCCGAGCCAGATTTGGAAAAATGACCAAAGCTCAGTGCAGCCTAATTATGACATAATAACGTTTAATTTTGAATAAATTTATTTGCTTTTTTTCCTATCAGTTTTATAATTATTTTTATGCCAAGCAAAATTAATTTTATTTAAAAATTTATGTCTGCAAATGTAGGAAAACGGAAGGGGATAGGAATTCAGTGCAGTCTGCTTGAAGATTTGCTAAAATAATTATCTCAATTCCTGAAATCCAGCAAAATGTTTATTTTATTAATCAATCAATCAAAATTATTAAACTTCGAAATAATGGACTACCGACCGAGTAATTGTTGCCATCAGTTAGGTTGATCTCCATGTAGGGCCGGTACGTTGATGCGTTTGCTGACAGGGACCACACGTAGAAGTTCATCAGTCTGTCGCCATTGGCGTTGAATCTTATTTTCTCGTTTTCGACTGAAGTTAATAACAAGACTAATTTAACTCATTCATCGTTTATTGGTTTAAAATTTGTTTAATGATTCATTTGTATACCACAGATTCATTCATCTATCAATATTTGATTATTTTTCATTCTTCTTTTTAACTATTATTAGTAACTCGTTTAAAGCTCAATAATAAATTTCTAGGACATGCATGGACAAATATAGGCAGATTTTCCAAAAGCTTGCAAACTTTTAAAATGTTTCAAATAATTTATAAAACATTTGATTGATGGTTGCTGAATCTATGAGTAGAAGAACAAGGAAGATCGAGAGTGAATCACCTGTTGGCGTTTGGTGAGTTGTTGGAATTGAATGGATAGTCATGGTATATGAACGAGCATGTACGGGCGTGCTGAATATAAGAACGGAATATTGCTGATTATGTAGTTAATAGCAGACTGTGTCTAAAATGATTTCTATCACAAACAATTTTTGCGAATCAAGTGTGGATAATTAGAAAGGTCTGCCATTAAGTTTGAGAAATAAAGACAAGACTTTAAAAGTCAATACCAACTGTAATAATGCGACAAATAATCCGGATATTGTAACTACAGAGTTTGATAATGACTCTTTAAAAAACCTCAACATACATGAGAAACTTGACCTAAAATCAGGATTTTTCCATCTGTTCAATCATTTGTATAATCATTCATCAATTTGTTTGTTGGTTAGTTAGAATTCTTAAAATCACATGATATTCAGTGTCAAAAATTCATTTGGTGAGGATGATGTTCTTGCTATGAAAATCTGAAACATTTTCGGCGATGAAACGAAAAATCGTAAATTATCGCAAGAGAATTCGAAACCATTTTTCAATCTATTTTCCTTGTTATTTAGAATGTTATTTTACGCAGTCAAATTTTAATAAAGTTTGTAAACGTAATTTGAGGTGTTATTCTAGTATGTAAAAAACATTTTAACTGCTTAATGGAGGAAAAGTGGGGCTATAATATGAAACAGTTGAAAGAATTTTATGGAATTGGTACAGACATTTGATCGTACGTTTGTTATTGCGTTAATTTCTACACATTTCCTGAAAAACAAATAAGCTTTTTATTATTTTTCAACATTGACTTTTTATGAATTAAAAATTAAAAATTTTTAACCAACTATTAATTTCTGCCGATTTTGAAGCATTGAAGATATTGTAACCACTGTTGGGATCTTTGCCAGACATCAATGTTAAATTCCTCAGTGACAGGTAGACATAAAATACGTCACCGAAGTATTGCTGGTAGTTAACATTTGACACTAGCTACTTTATACAGTCAATGATTGAATCAATATAATAAAATAAAATTTTAATGATATCTTACCGCTAGAGTGAACCTCACGTTGTTAGCGTCAGATCTTGGATCCGGAATGGCGGTGGAGTTCTTGTAGGTTATCTGGTGGTTGAGTTTTGAATGCTGTCTGATTGATAGGCATCATTGAAACAGTTTCAATTATATTCTCAGTAAACATGTCATCTTTATTTAATTTCGATAAAAACTATTTATATACAACACACATTTTTATTTTCAAGCTAAAACTGTTAAGCCATTGTTTCGACACAATTTCACCAAACTAACTATTTTAAGTGAGAGGAAAGCTTGTTTCCTGTAATCATCCATTGCAGTTGCATTTGCAGACAACCAGGGATAGAGGAGAATGTTGAATGTGAATCCTGGCAGGGCTGATGCCGAAGCTGCTGTTGGTGGTGTTGGTGCACAAATCAGTTGTCAGTCATTTAACAATTAAATATTATATATGCTACAGATATTAATTATGTGCTCAAATTTTATCCATTTTTTTTACAAAGCAACGAACGTGGTAGCGTTGAAAATTTAAATGAAGAAAATAAAATAATAAATCGACGATGTTAACAATATATGCAGAATGAATGTTGAAAAAGATCGTGCAAACGCATGCTTATGAAAATACATAGAAATGATGTAGCAATTTATTGAATATACTTGAGTTGAGTGCATGTACAGTACACGCGTAAGAAGATCAGGTGGCAAGCACATTGGCGATCCAATGTTGGGTTTCAAGAGCATCAACAGATCCAATCATTTGGTGAAAAAATATATTTGTGAAATGATCAATTTTTTATGTACAGTTTGAAATTTGAAAGATTATAACAAAAATTGTTATAAGGTCCAAGCGTACAAAGCAGAACCAATTAGGTACAGATAAACCTATTGTAGGTACATTATACGTTTATACATATTTGTTTATTACATACCAAAAGCAAAAAAATAAAAATAGTATTAGTTTAAAAATATTGCATGCAACTAAAGTTTTGTTAAAAATTCAAAAGTTGAAAACTATTTTGATATACGGTAAATTAAATAGTAAACATGAAATAAAACTTAAATTTTTTTGCGATATTTTATCCAAAAATAGTTTTAAACCAACATAACGGCAAACAACAACAAATGCTCCTTTTTAATGAAAAAATATTTTTCTGTGGCAAACCAGCGTAAATGTTGAAAAAAGTGATCCAAACATAATGGTTGGGATCAGTCATTCCAAGATCTTGCGCCATGAACATGATCTGCTGCAAGGCCGTGTTATTGGAATGGCAGAGGATAACAACTGCATGAACATGATGAATAGAATTTTGATTAAAAACCCAGTTCTGCACATCAAAATTGATTAAATAACAAGTCAATTTATTTTTTAAAAACTTTTGGGCTATTTGATGAATGTTCAGTTAAAACAATGTAATTTACCGACATCACGGCAACAAGTATACAAATCAACGACGACAAATTTATTCACAGAACAACCAATTGATTGATGAAAACAAAATTAACCTCTAGCCGAGTGTTGAATTTTTGTAAAAAACAAAGTCTCGAACGAATCGATAATGGCCGGCAACCGCACGATTTCAGCAATCGTAATGGAATTTTCTCTTAGTCGAGACTGTATTGCAGTGACACCAGAATCACAAAAATCCGTTCCGCTTTCAATCATGACGGCTACATTATCCCACTGATATTTTTTGAAGTATGTTACAAAAGACGCACCAAATGCCGTCAGAGAGCCCAAAAACCGGATAGTGTTTGTATAAACCGAGGAATCGTCAAGACTAGGATCGAAGCAGTTGAGCGGGAAATAAGGAATGTTCCAATAATTAGTCACCTGCGCCGCTGCTACACAATCTGCACAGTTATGGAGCAGTGAACACCATTGTACAAATTTAAAATATTATTATTTTATATCGAAAATGAGAAATGAAATTTTTTTAATGGAATTAATATGTTAAATAGCAAAAACGAACGTAGGTACCCATAGTTAATTTCAACAAAATAGTTTTTTCCGGTCTAATTGTGAATTTAAATTCATTTTAAATATAAATTTATAATGATTTAAATCTTCAAAATTAAAAAATCAAGTTTAATTAATAAATAGCAGATAATTTACTTGGAGAGCAGAAAGCCCCAAAAATGGTATGTACGGAGTAATTAAGTATGAGATTGACGCCTTCAGTCGTGCCAACCATGCCATTGCACGTGTTTATCAGGCGTATTATCAAGCTTTGTGGAAAATATTTAAGAATGAATTTTTTACGTGTTTGAATTTGACTAATCATCATACGAGTACATTATGGTGAATAAAATTCTGTATAATGTGATCCATATTCAAAAGACTCTCCAAAACGGGGCTGTCCATAAAGGATGTTACACTTTTTGGGGCGGAGAAGGCCACAAAATCGGTGATAGGCATAGTTTAAATAAATATTTGCAAACTATTAGTACAGTTTAACTATCTATAGTTTAGTTAAAATGATAGTTTAACTAGAATATTTTTATTGCCCACTAAATAATTGAGCTCAATGTTTTAATTGTTTTTTTTTTGCAAAGTCACGACTGATGGATTTAAAATATGATTTTTGAACCCAAAAATGCAACGTACTTAAGGTTTTTCATATTTCTTAAGCCAAGCCAATGCTACTGATTGGTGTGACCATCTTAATTACTTATATTAATTACCAGAGCATGACACGATCGAGAAATCGGAATGGTGCATGCATGTATCGTATAGGTACCATCACACGTGCTGAAATTTCTGCACGTTTCAATGTAAATATGTTGGTTTGAATGTGCTTGTTTAGGCACATTGATAATTAAAAATATCATTGCATTGGAATTTACCGATGATTAAATTTAAAAAAACTTATTCAGACAAAATTTCATCCTTTAATGAGTTAAATGGTAAAACCTGGAAATTTTTTCTGGAAGTAGTGCTATGATCGCTCACTAATCACCTCACAAGCTACACTGAACAAGCGCTTAAATGTTTAGTATTTTTAAATAGCATTTTTATTTGAAAAGAAGCATAGACAAAAACGTTGAAACAGAAATTTATGGTTGTAAATATGCGCAAAACATCTCGAGTATTATTAAAAAGATCTAACAGAAGCAACAAACTCTAAGAGGCCGAGTTGTTCAGGTCTAATATTAATTTAAAACGATCGGTAGTTTCACCATTGAAAATCTGCGTGAGCAGGATATGCACGGCATGTTTCGACGAGGTGGAAGACGTAAAACCAACATAATATTAACATAGTTAGCCTTTGTGGAAGTTTTTTCAACAGTTTTGTAATTAAAACGGTTTAAAGAACATCTAAAATCGGTGTCCAGCCCCGACCAGATATCTTCTTTAGCTATCCTAAACTGTGCGACTGAAAAAACTGCCTTGCAGGAACTTAACTTGTTAAAAAGGCTTTGTTTCTGCTCCATTAAAAATATTGATGTCTTTGCGTATAATTCTATAACTATGTTCAAATTTAAGCGCATTTAAAATATTATAAAAATAAAATGTGTGTTAATTTAAAATTTCACACTATTTATAAGTTTTACTTTGAAAATTATTTTTTCGTCACGAACCTGTAATTCCCGAAAAAGATCATATCCTTTACAGCCTTTTTGTAACCATCCGTGATGGCCTTCCGGACCAGATCCTGGTTGGTGCTGCTAACCGTCAAGCCGATGATGACGTCATTGTGGTTTTTTGTGGAGAGAGATAGTGACGATGAGGAAGAAGAGGTTGAAGAGGAGGGAGAGGATGATATGAAAATGAGAAACAGCAAAATACAGTTGGATGTTGACAGGTAAGACATGATGGGATAATTTTTGGTTGTAATTGATGGGGCTTTTTTGTTGTTCATGATTTTTTTGTTGGTGACGACGACGATGAATTTGTTAAATAAAGAAAAACATAAATAAAAATGCAATTATTAATGATAAACAAAAAATTTTAATTTTAAATGGAAAATAACAATTTCATAGCCATATATGACTATATGATTTCGTAACTTTATAAGAATAAAAATCATAATAATTAATGCGTTCTTAAAACAGGATGAAAATTGACAGAACCTAGCCGGGTTTCATTTAATTATATCGTCAGAAGGACAGGAATTTTATAGCAAAGCACGCTAAGCAAATCATGTGTAGTGTATAAGTAAGTACCAGCATATATAAAAAGACATCCATGTTTTGCCTGGATCAATCTGTCAATCCATGTACGTACCTCCTTATGCTCCTACACGTAAAATACATACAATGATATATATTGAATATATATATATATATATATATATATATATATATATATATTATATATATCATAAAATAACATATGTATCATACAATAGCTAAATGACTTTGTAACGGCGGTATTTAGTTACGATATATATATATATACTTTGTATGAGGCTGGTTATATATATATATATATATATATATATATATATATATATATGTATATATATATATATATATTGTTACAGACGTGAAGGTGATATAAGAATTGGTAGTTAGAAATTAAGTGAAGCGCTTGATAATTTATTTAAAAGGTGTAGCTAATTAAAACGGTTGTAAAAAAAAGTCACTCTGTAAGTGGGGACTCAACAACACACGAAGAACACGAGAAGAATAACGAGAACGAGGAGATAACACGAGGAATACAGGTAATCAGAAGACGGAGCACTATTGACGTAAATGTAATTAATGTGATTTTAAGTAGTTATTAGGATTGTTTCTACTACTGCTGGTATTAAATAAACGTCTGACGTAGTTTGCGTTTAAAGTGGTTGAGTTCATCTATCGGAGATCTTGAACCTACGGATAAACGAACTCTTGACTATCGTTGGATCTACAACATGGTGTAGGAGATATAGCGAGTATTGAAGCTATGACATCGGTGTTGGTAGTTACGAGGTCGAAGAGGCTACGACACTGGTGTTAGAAGCGGAATCTTCAGGAGATTGCACTCCGGCGACAGAGGTAAGATTCTGATAGCTGGAAACTCACTGCGGTAAAGAATACCAGGACTAGAGAACTCAATGTAATTAGTTGGATAAGAGAAACTTAACTACTGACGAATAGTTGTATTCCGTGATTTACCTGTGGATTAGTTATTGTGCTGTATTCTAACGATTTGAACAGTCGAACGAACGAGTGATCGATTATGGCAATACACACAAGTGATTGCCAACACTGTTATTTTTTCTACTAAAGTCTTCTGAAATAAACTTGCATAGGAATCAAGAATCCACGTAAAAAGAAATAACCATACCCTACAAGTTTAATGGGATGGTGATAACAATACAATAACTAAATGACTTTGTAACGGTAATTAATTACAACATATATATATATACATATATATATATATATATATATATATATATATATATGTTGGTAATAGACCATAATTTTTACAATATTCTATAAATTCTACCGAAATTCGGTAAAATTTATAGAATATTGTAAATATATATATATATATATATATATATATATATATATATATATATATATATATATATGTAAATTATATTTCATATAATTATCTATGTTTAGGTATTCTTTGAATTTCTATTCTGTGCTTGTAAATTATGTTTCATTACTTTGGTATTATCTTATATATAAATGCAAATAGCACGTGGGTTTATATTTTATTATTGTTGGCTTTGTAAACGATCCTGGAATTTAATTTTTCTACTTAGATTAATAAATCAGGTTATTCGAAAGCAAACTTATAAATTAAATTCCAAAAAGAAGACGGCTTCAAAAACAAGTAAGTTGTATTTTCTAATTATTAAAAGAAATAATGACGAATTTGAATTAGTGGGCATATCGGAAAATAAAGAAACATGGTATGTCCTGCCTGAAGAGAAGAAAGATTTAAGTTTGCACGAAGCTCTATCTACGAAGCGAGCAATAATCAATACAATTAATTCTATCAAACCTATCAACGGTTATCGCACAATTTGCATCAAACTCGATGATGAATTGAGAAAATAATATTACGACGAAGACGAAAATCTATGTTTTTTAGATAATATGTTAGAAGAAAAAATTATTGATAATAAACATAGAGATGAATAAGATGACAATTTTTTAAATGAACGAATTAAGAAATTTGAAGCTAAGCTTAAAAATTTATTCTGGAAAAATTCAACAAAAAGCAAAACCCTACTGAATGGATAGAGAAATTTGAAAATGAATGTAGAAGGCATAAATTACTGAATCCTACTAATGTCATAGAAGCATTACGCTTCTTTTTATCTGGGTCACCGGAAGATTGGTACGAATCAAATTTAAAAAAGATCGGCTTAACTAATTGGTCAGAATGGAGAAAGTCCTTTCTGACCATTTTTGCAGATAGAGGTTGGAAAAAAATAAAAACCGCATATAATTACAAATATTTAGGTGGTTCTTTAATAGACTATGTTTAGAAATTGAAATGTCGAGAATAAACATGATCGTTATGGGCCTTCCTGTAGAAATACAAAACCAGCTTGATAGAGAAGAAATAACGACCATTGAGAAACTTCAAAGAAATAACAAAAATTGATGAATGCGTTTCTAACATCAAGCTGAAATATGACAATAAATTTTTAAGTAATGAAATACCATACAATACGGATGTCAAGACAAAGCAACTTTATCAACACAAACAGAGATATGGAGTTTGATAAAATCTTTAATTAGAAAAGCGTCAAAAGCATTTATTTGCGGACTAACACTAACTTAATTTGACTATTCTGTTTAGTTTAATTTTAGTGAAAAATAATATTTGATTCCGGACAAAATGGCGAATCGAACCGTCAAGGATGCCGCCACCGTCAAAGGAACCAACCCACAGTTCCTAATCGAAAAAATTATCCGGACGAGAATTTACGAATCCAAATTTTGGAAGGAAGAATGTTTTGCTCTATCGGCCGAATTGCTGGTGGACAAAGCAATTTCTATTCTGTTGTTGTAAATTATATTTCATTACTTTGGTATTATCTTATATATAAATGCAAATAGCACAAGGTTATATTTTATTATTGTTGGCTTTGTAAACGATCCTGGAATTTAATTTTTCTACTTAGATTAATAAATCAGGTTATTCGAAAGCAAACTTAAATGTATAATACATGTGCGCTGTGACTGTTGTTCTGTTATGTTTGGTTATGTAAAATTTATATAAAGTTACATAACACATACACACCACACATACACAGTAGTAGTTGTTTTTGTTGTAGTAATAGTAGTAGCAGCCGTAGAAGTAACGTAGTAGTAGTAATAGTAGTGGTATTAATCGTGCAACTAGTTATAGTACTGGTTGTACAGTGGTAGTGTGGTGGTAGTAATAGCGGTAGTAGTATATTATTATTATTGTTAATAGTAGTAAAAGAAGTAGCAGTGGTGGTATTGAATTTGTTGTTGATTTCATGCATGGTTGATTGGTTTGCAATGAGATAAATTTTAATGGTTATTTGCTGCCAGGGCACTAATTAACCATAGACATCTCGATGTAATAGGCTGTTATTACATCGAGACATCTATAAATTAACACACAACAACCCAAACAATTTGTGCATATGTGTGTATGTGATTTTTTTCAAGTATTATTATTATTAAAATTATTAATAGTAGTAGTAGTAGCAGTAGTAGTAGTAATAGTAGTCGTATCAATGGTAGTAGTAGTAGTAAAAGTCGAAGCTGCAGCAATAGTAGTAGTAGTAGTAGTAGTAAAAACTGTAGTAGTAATAAAAGTAGTAGTAGTAATATTAGTAGTTGTGGCTGTAATAGTATTAATTGTAGTTGTAGTAGTATTAGT